AAGTGGTAGAGCGCTCGCCTTGAGCTGAAGAGCTGAGGGACAGCGCCCAAGCCCAGAGTTCAAGCCCCACGACCGACAAAAAAAAAAAAAAAAAAACCAATGCAAAAAAAGGCTATAGTTACGATTCAGCAGCAACGAGCATGCCCAGAAAGCACAAGGCCCTGACTGCAAACCTCAGGTACTGTTCACCTTCCTTCCTCCCCCCAAAATCACAAAAGTGGTTCACGTTAAACTCATTCTCCTAGATGACAACATAGAGGCATTCGATTATATTACCGGTTTGGTGTTTTGCATAACTTTGACAGATTTCAAAATAATCAGTAGAGGAAGAATACAATCGAGCAAAATGAGCAGCCCTCACCAGCAGGTCGTATCTGCCGCCGGCGGCCAGGATTTCCGGCACAGCTCTCTGCCTCCGCCTGATAAAGGCCACGAACTGGAAGATGATCCCGCTGTGCTGCTGCACCTTGTAAACCAGGCCCAGGTTGACCAGCACCTGCAGAGATGTAAATCACACACACCTAACCACCGGCTTGGAACTGCTCTGGCCTGGCTTCCTGTGGCCTGCCAGGCCAGGGAAACTCGGCTCTCTGAGAAGAATGATCTCTCAGGCTTCTGCACTCCGACAGGAATCGTGTCACTTGGCAAAAAAACAAAAACAAAAAGACCCGACTGAAACAAAAACTAATTCTAGGTATCACATGCTCCGAAATGTAGAGTCGAGGAGAGTCGAGGTCTCCTGGCATTCCACCCCTGAATCCCTGCCAGGATGGAAGAGCTGCCAAACCTGTAACTTGATGCCAAATTTCTTCAGCAGCCCAATGACCTCCTCTAGGTCTTTTAAGCCATATTTCACCAATGCTGCAACACCCGTTTTCTGTTTTATTAGCGAGTTGATCATTGGCATTACATCTTGCAAATCCCCCTTCTGCTCAATAAACTTGTAGAGTCGACACAGCTGGAAAAGAAAGAGGTCGGTCAGCTGACAGCCCACGGCGGGAGACCTCTGTGCCTGGTGCTTCCCACAGGCGGGGAGGAGGCCTGGGGTGGGGAGGCCTATGCGGAGAGCCTGCACTTCCAGGAGTGCGGGTCCTGCAGCCGCAGGCCATTTTAGCCCTTGCTGTAATCTGGGAGAACATCCTTTTTACATCAAAATGAAAGCATCTAGGAGAAGTGCTTTACACATCTGGTCCACTGGTCAGCCTAGGGTTAATGCAAAGCAGACTCTGGCCCTGGCAGAGCGTTCTGTACTTGTCATCAGACAGAATTCTCCCTCTGCCTTCCTTCTCACTTCTGTTACTACAGGCACAGACACACTGGCCAGGAAGGCAAAATGTGACCGGCTCTACTGCTCAGAGGATTAGCAAGAGTTTTTCCCTTCGCTCCTGTTTGGAGCTGCAAGAGAGTCCCCTGCAGGCAGCCTCTGGGTTCTTCAACCAATGGGCTCAGCCCGTGAGACTGGCTTTGTCCTGCTGTTCCCTGTCCGTCCCAGGGAGGCAGGAACCAGGGACACTAGCACAGACTCTGGTGTATGGCAGGAGGAAGTCAGAACAGGGAGGTGCACAAAGGGCAAAGTACAGCCTGGGAAAAACTCCCAGAGTCTAAGCTGGAAATTATTAAGATGCAAAATTAGAGCTACTTGAGTACTGCAGGCAGATCCAGGATCGTCTAAGTATCATGGGTTCATCATCAACCTTGATGCCAAATTTCTTCAGCAGCCCAGAAATACTAGGGACTCTAGATTCTGGTCATCAGTGGACCATTTAACTAACAATGTGTGACTCTGGACAAGTTGGTCTCCTTGGGTTTTAGGCAGCTCATGTGTAAAGGAAGACTGAGCTGGATATTTAAGGCTCTTTTGTACTATTTCTCCTTTTTAGTATCTCTAACTTGTATCTACTCAGGAGGCTGAGATCTGAGGATCACAGTTTGAAGCCAGCCTGAGCAGAAAAGTTGCTGTGAGACTCTTATTTCCAATTAACCACTCAAGAAACCAGAAGTGGAATTGTGGCTCAAAGTGGTAGAGCACTAGCCTTGAGAAAAAGAGCTCAGGGACAGCTCCCAGTCCCTGAGTTCAAGCCCCATGACCAACAGAAAAAAAAAACTTATAAGTAAAAATTTTTTAAAAAAGGAAGAGGAAAAAGAAAAAAGGAAGCAGGCATTTTAGCCACAATGCAGCTGTCACAAGGATGTGGTATCTGTGACGTTCTGCATCGTGACACTGGTTCAAAGAGCCTTTTGGGAGCCAGGTGTGGTAGTGTATTCCTGTAATCCCAGCACTCGTGAGGCTGAGGCAGGAGGATTGTGAGTTCAAGGCCAGTCTGAGCTACATAGTGAGCCTTTGTCTCAAATCCTCCCACCCCCTAAAACAAGAAAAAGACAGGATCTGGTGAGTAAGGAAGGGCAGGCTGGCTTGTAGCACATGAATGCATGTGGAAAGAGTCTCTGATGGCAGCGTCAGTCTCTCTCCTCGGATCCCAGATGTTGCCATGGTACCTGACACTGAGGGGGCAGTGATGTCATGAGAGCAGCAGGGAAGGGACACAACCTCCCTGCTAACAAGAAGCTGGAGACATCGTCTGACAGCATGGAGTTAACAGATCAAGCTCAGCTAGTGCCCGCCAAAGGTACTTACACTGTTAGAAGGTAAAGACAGATTACAAAATTTAGCCTCCACTTCTCTCCTCGTCAGTTTCTCTGTCTGCAGCAGGAGAGAAAGGGAGCAGTGAGAGACTGGACTCAACCCCCCATCCAAGCACAATTTTCAGGCCCATTCTGACAAATATCCTTCTGTGAGACAAGGTGTCCTAATTGTAAGGGATAGACTTAACTCTATGAATAAAGTACTCCCCCCATTCACAGAAAACCACAATATTAGTTTAAAATCTGAAAAAGCCTGACAAAAGATGCAGAAAGGGTGAAGATTTATCTGTTTAATGGCAGGCCCAGCGCTAGACAGGCTTTCTGGGGTGATTCTGGGTGGGCAGGATAGTGTGTGTTTGTCATTTCAGCTGTGGTGGGAAATATAAATAGGACACTCCAGGCTGCACAAACAAAAAGCAAGACCCTACCAAAAAAAATAAATAAATAAAAGCAAAACCTGGTCACTCATGCCTGTAATCCTAGCTATTCAGGAGGCTGAGATCTGAAGATCGCAGTTCAAAACCAGATGGGGTAGGGGAAGTCCATGAGACTCTTATCTCCAATTAACCATCAGAAAACTGGAAGTGGTGCTATGGCTCAAAGTGGTAGAGTGCTGGCCTTAAGCAAAATTGCTCAGAGGCAGCGCCCAGGCCCTGAGTCCAAGCCCCACGACCAGCAAAATTTATAAATAAAATTAAAAAATTTAAAAAGCAGAAAGGCCTGGAGGTATGGCTTGAATAGTAGAGCACCTGCCCAACAAGTGTGAAGCCCAGAGTTTACACCCCCAATACCATCAAAACAGGTTGGTTAGTGAAGTTAGGAATTTAAATTACAAATAAGATAATTTAATCCTTTTTTTTTTTTGGTCAGTGGTGAGGCTTGAACTCAGGGCCTAGATTCTTTTGCTCAAGGCTAGCACTCTACTACTTGAGCCACAGCTCCACTTCTGACTTAAAAAAAAAAAATTAGGGGCTGGGAAGGTGGCTCAGTGGTAGAGTGCTTGCCTTGCATGCATGAGGCCCTGAGTTCGATTCCTCAGCACCACATAAGCAGAAAAAGTTGGAAGTGGCACTGTAGCTCAAGTGTTAGAGCACTAGCCTTGAGCTGAAGAGCTGAGGGACAGCACCCAGGCCCAGAGTTCAGGCCCCACAACCGGCAAATAAATAAACAAAAAATTATTGTAAAGATACTGTACAGAGGGGTTACAGAGTAAGCTAATGAGGCCATTTCTTATTGAGCATAGTTACCCCCTCCTTTGTTTGCTTTTTCTCTTTTTTTTTTTTTGTGTGGGGGGGGTGGTCCTGGGGCTTGAACTCTGGGCCTGGATGCTGTCCCTCAGCTCTACAGCTCAAGGTGAGTGCTCTACCACTTGAGCCACAGCGCCACTTCTGTTTTTTTGGTGGTTTGTTGGAGATATAAGTTTCACGGACTTTCCTGCCCAGGCTGGCTTTGAACCGTGATCCTCAGACCTCAGCCTCCTGAGTAGCTAGGATGACAGGTGGAGCCACTGGCACCCAGCACTTCTGATTTTTTCTGTGATTCATTTAAAATAAGAGTCATGGACTTTCCTGCCCAGGCTGGCTTCCAAGTGCCATCCTCAGATTTCAGCTTGTGAGTAGCTAGGATTATAGGCATGAGCCACTAGTACCCAGCTAATTTCATCTTTTAAAATTAGAAGTTACCCCTTTAAAAAACTGGAGGTTATTAGTAGTTAGTTAAGTGATAAGCACAGAATTAAAGCTCAGAAACCCTTGTTAGTGGTTAATGTAATTCACACCAACTGGTTGTTTTATCTTATAGTAATGAAGGAGATAAAGCTCCTAATTTAGTTTTATGGTTTCCTCAGTCACAAAACAACCATTCAACACCAGGCCAAAGTAATTAAGTGCTTACCACAGCGTCACACAGGATGACGTAGACCTGACTGAGTTTATCTTCTGGAATCCCACAGTGTAGGAGCACTGCTTTCAGTATCATTGTATGGTTCAAGTAAATACTGTAATTTCTTTCCTGGGACACAGAGAAATTATTATTATTTTTACTATAGAAGTTATATAGGTTCATGATCAAGTCTAGAATCCTACCACAAATGTATCATTCTAACATCTTGGAAGGAGTGGATTTTAGCATCCCGACTCCTAATTAGGTTTTAAATCACGCATCATTTTTAGAGTGGGGATGGGGGTGCTGAGCCGGGTATGGTGGGATACAGGGAACCAAAGGCTGAGGGCTGTGCCCCAAATGAGCTTGCGCGGTGCTCGCAGGAGCCCATGGATGCCTGTGTCAGGAGCTGTGAGGGTGGGAAGACAAGGAAGAGACAGGGCAGGCGGACTTCCTGGGAAAGGATCCCAGCCACACTGGGAGAAGGAAGGCTATCTGGACAAGGGACCACCGAGAGGCTGCAGAGCAAGTGTGGGGGATGAGCAGGGGGCTGGAGAACAGGTGGCAACAGAGCCTCATTTCCTAAGTCTTGAAAGAGTGGTGGGGACACAGCCAGACGTCCCCGCCACCCAGAACGAAAGGACGACGGGTTACAACACGGCCGGAACCTGTAGGGCGGAGAACTCTTGGATGATCTCGTAGATGGTGTAGATGGTCTCTGCTGTGGGCAGAGAGCTGTTGGTGGTGGAGGTGACGATGTCAAATGCACACTCCAGAAGCTCCTTGGGGTGAAAGCGATCTAGTTTGCGAGGTCTGAACACCCGTTCTATGCAGTATCTGGAGAGACAGGGGCAGATTTCTGAGGTCATTGCTTAGAGGGAACAAACCTGTGTGGGGAACTGTGAAACCAAAGAAGATATACAAAAACCCAGTCAGTATTATGATTAAAAAGGCTTATGGGCCAGGCACCAGTGGCCCACGTCTATAATCCTAGCTATTTAGAAGGCTCACATGTAAGGATCCTGGTTTGAAGCCAGCTAGGGAAGGAAAATCCATGAGACTTTTATCTCTAATTAACCACCAAAAAGCCAGACGTGGAGCCGTGGCTCATATGGTATAGTGACACCCTTGAGCAAAAAAGCGAAGGGACAGCACCTAGGCCCTGAGAACAAGCCCCAGTACTGTACCACCACAATTCTGGATTCCCAATTCTGCACTATTCAACTATGGGGCTTTCTTTGTTGAATGTCCACAGGAGGGTGAAACTACAAGCCAAAAGGACTGTTCCTTGAGTGCTTACTTCTACGGGGAGACACCTACACCGGCTGGTGATTGCTTTCTCAGAGCCAGAATAAAAGCATGTAAGGAGCTTTGGTTTCGTTGGAGGAAGGAGCTGCAGGGCAGGGGGTCTCCTCCGCAACAATGCTGCTTCACCTTCCCAAGCTCTCGGCATCTGAACCCTGTGGTATCTGAGTGGACAGAAAACCCTTCCCACTGCCGAGTGCCATCATCCCAGCATTCCTGCAGGCTTGCTCTGTTTTGCTACATGTGGCTTCTGTCACTTACCTGTGTGGGCAGTTCTCACACAGAGACCGCTGGCTGTTTGTCCCTCCAATTAAATTTTAAAAGTGGCATCTGTGATCAAGGGCAGCCACATTTCCCCGTAAGTAGCCATTTGTGAAAATAAAGAGCTGCACTGCCCTGAAACAGGCAGAAGGGAAGAATGAGAGCACAGGTTCCCTGACTACTACCTTCTTCCCCAGACAGGATGTCAGATGGTGCCCTGGCGGTATTCTGAGCTCAGTACTTGGACCCCAGAATTCTCCACTGTGTAAGGATCACCGAAGATAAGCACTCCTTTCTTCCCCATGTCCACCACACGGGAGGCAAGGCTCTTTGGTTTTTCTTACCGTTTTAAGTTCAGGATGTTATTTCTTGCCACGTATCTCGCAAAAGGGACCTGGAAGATAGTTTTAAAGATCAATGTCTAGTTTTTTTTTGGGCTCCGGTCATGGGGCCTGAACTCTGGGCCTGGGTGCTGTCCCTCAGCTCTTCAGCTCAAGGCTAGCGCTCTACCACTTGAGCCACAGCGCCACTTCAGGCTTTTTTATTTTTGCTTATGTGGTGCTGAGGAATCAAACCCAGGGCCTCTGGCATGCAAAGCAAGTGCTTTACCACTGAGCTACCTTCCCAGCCCCAATGTCTAGTTTTTAAAATAAAACAGCATTAGTGAAATTTAACTCATGCATCATACAGTTTGTCCTTTAAAACTGTATTAATTCAGCAATTTTTATAAACTTACATTAAAAAAAACTGTCTACGTAACAGTGGTTCTGTAATAGTTTATGGCCTAGCACTCTGGCAGCCACCTTAGGTAGGTTCACGTGTCTATGAACCTTATGTAGGAACACGCTATGATGCTTGCACATTTTTGAGACTGCAAACCTGTCACTAGGTGACAGGACCTTCAGTCACGCACCGGATGTCCCCGAGTCCTTTGGTCAGTGGATGCCACTGCCAGACAGGCTATCTGTCGTGGGCATAGGCATTTTTAAAATTTTTTTTGGGGTCTGGTCATGGGGCTTAAACTCTGGGCCTGGGCACTGTCCCTCAGCTCTTCAGCTCAAGGCTAGCGCTCTACCACTTGAGCCACAGCGCCACTTCCGGCTTTTTTTCTTTTTGCGTATGTGGTGCTGAGGAATCTAACCCAGGGCCTCAGGCTTGCAAGGCAAGCGCTCTACCACTGAGCCACCTTCCCAGCCCCGGGCATAGGCATTTCTTAAACTTGAGGGAAACTCACTGTTACTTGAATATGCTTTCTATATTTTAACTATATCAAACTAAAAGCTGTACAAGTTATTAATCAGAGGAGCCTGCTGATACATTCTGTTCTCTGGTGAATTTTACAAACACATGTCACAATAATATTATCAAAATGGGCATTAATTATATCTTAAGAGTGAACTTCCCACTATTTCTACAATCTTTTAGAATCTTTTGTTTTTTCTTTGAAGTACTAGGGTTTGAACTCAGGGACGCCCATGTACTAAGCCTAAAGTATGGCTCAAATGGTAGAGCACCTCCTTCCCAAGCATGAACCCGAGAGACCCAAGACCACTAAAATAATAATAGTAATAATAATGACACACTTCTAAAAGATGTCATTTAGACAGAAACTTGGGGCCTGAACTCTGGGCCTGGGCTGTCCTTCAGCTCTTCAGCTCAAGGCTAGCGCTCTACCGCTGAAGCCATAGCACCACTTCTGGCCTTTTCTGCTTATGTGGTGCTGAGGAATGGAACCCAGGGCCTCATGCATGCAAGGCAAGTGCTCTACCACTGAGCCACCTTCCCAGCCCCGCAGTCCGGTCTTTTAGCAGAGTTCCCGTCCGCATGTGCGAGGCGTGCAGACGTGAGAAGGGAGATGCCGCTCACCCGCAGGTCGAAAGGCAGCATCACCAGCATCCCGCTGTGGTCCATGAACACGGCGGCTTCGTTGTGCTCGTAGATCTGCCTGTTGCGGGGGAGCAGGAGTGGGGTGCACAACTGGACAGCTCCTGTGCCAAGTCAGAGGACACAGCGTATCAGCAGACCCCTCTGGGAGGCAGCCTCCACGCACTCGAGTGACCTGCGACCAGGACCGCTGAGATCACCGTGGGACTCGCTTCGGCTCTAAACTCAGACAGAGAGCCTGTAGAGGGCTGCCTGTGAGCTTAGTGCCATGGGGCTGTTCCAGATTCACTAACGGTGCTTTCTAATGGCAAGCCCATTCTCTGAGAAGGGATGAGAAGCTGAGAGGACGTACCATGCCGTTTAAAGATGCGGATGACGGCTTCGCACACATGTTGCTGGATCTTGGCTGTGCGGATGGAGAAGTTGCCCTGAAATGGGACCAGTTAAAAAACCCACTGAAATCTAATCTAGAGACCCTAAAATATGAGCAGTGGCTGACATTTGTTTTTGTTGTTTTTTTTTTGTCGGTCATGGGGCTTGAACTCTGGGCCTGGGCGTTGTCCCTCAGCTCTTCAACTCAAGGCGAGCGCTCTACCACTTGAGCTACAGCGCCACTTCCATGGCTGACATTTGTCACTTGCTTATTCTCAGATCACCAGAGACCTCAAGTTAGCTTCTCTGAATCTATTCAGGGAAGAGACCGCAGCTCACATACACTCCCTGGGAACTGCTGGGGACACCAGAAAGTGATTAGAGCTCCTCTCCTCCCTCCCCTTCTTTCTATCCCCTCCCTTCTCCTCCAGGTATTAAGGTAAGTGGTTATTCTATCAAGGGCTTTCCTGTGTAGCATGCATGAGGCCCTGATTCCAATCATGTCTTGCTAACTTTGCCTGGCCTTCCTTGGAACTGGAGATCCCTGTTTCCACCTCCCAAATAACCAAGATTATATGTATGCATCACCACACCCAACTTTTTTTTTTTTTTTGAGTCTGGTCGTGGGGCCTGGACTCTGGGCCTGGGTGCTGTCCCTCAGCTCTTCAGCTCAAGGCTAGCGCTCTACCACTAGAGCCACAGCGCCACTTCCGGCTTTTTTCTTTTTGCTCATGTGGTGCTGAGGAATCGAACCCAGGGCCTCATGCATGCAAGGCAAGCGCTCTACCACTGAGCCACCTTCCCAGCCCCCACACCCAACTTTTTGTAAGAAATTTAAAAAATGTACAAGGCTCCCCAAACCAGAAACCTAGTTATACTTCAGGAACCATGCAGGAGATCCTAGAGATGCTCCAAATGCTGACAGCTGTCAATGCCACACCACTTGGTGCTAGCGGATGCCTAGGCACCCCGCTAGCAGGGCTTCCGAGGGGGTCTGTATGGGCAGCCAGCACTGCAGCCACTACTGTCTGAGATCTGACTGCTGCCATGTTTCTGGACCCAGACAGCTAGGCTGGGCAGTGATCAACATCTCCATAGCTGTGGATGTGGAGGGGGATGGGCAGAAATCCTGCAGAGAAGTAATTCGCAGTGTGGCTGTTCTTACAGAACAGTGCAAGTGCACAATTTTTTGGTGTGTGTACTCTTGGGGGCTTCTTGGGCCTCAGATTAAGCATATACATTAAAAAAGAATCCTGGGAAACTAGGACCCAACTAGATCCTTCCTCTGCTGACCAGGTCAGCTATGTGGGGCGGGGTCAGCCCACCTTGAGGATGTCACTGTCGTAGGTGTAGTCGATGGCGGGGGAGATGCGCTGGGAGAAGATCTGGGCCATCATGGTACGGTAGGCCTTCCCGTCCACGTTGGCCAGTGTGTGGTGCAGCACCTCGTGCAGCTCAGACTCCTCCATCTGGGGCGGGGGCAGCAGCTCGCTCCTCAGCAGCTCCGTGGCCGTGGGCCGTTTTGCCGGATCGTGGTTCAGGAGCCAGGAGATGACGGACTTCTGCAGCGAGACACAGGCAAACGCAGCAGGTCACTTCACGTCACACACAGACGCCACACGTCTTGCACTAAGCTGGTACATTTTAATTGGTATTTCTGAAATCTCGGACTCTGTCATTAACCTCCCACACCTCATTATGGCTACAGGACTGTGCCATGGCATACACAGAAGTAGTTCTATAAGACAGAGGCCTTTCACAAACAGCTAAAAGGAAAACACAAAAACAGGGGAGTGGTCATTTCCTATGAGCTGCGGGGGCTGTGGGTGCACAGGGCCCTGCTGTATTTTACAAGTTGTTGCATTAACATCAACAGCCCAATTAGCATTTTAAAAAATCAATATTATGACATCAGGTTTTCCTACTCCTTGCCAAGCTGACAATAGTTAGCACCAGATTACCCTGCCAGGGCTGAGCTACATCAAAGGAAGTAACCCCTTAAACTGATGGGTGAGCAAAGTCTAGGTAGTGAGGAGAGAAGAGACATGTCCACCCAGACATAAAAGCCTCAAGTGAGAAGCAGCGAGTTACTGTCCTGTGTGCTGCTCTTCTGCCCTCAACAATGAAGATTTTAGTAGAGGACTTTAGTCCTTGACTGTAATCGTCAATAAAGGTTAGCACAAGGAAGAAATTTCCCCATGACTGGGCATCTTCAACAGCAAAGCTTCACCAACACAGATAACTAGAACTAAGAAAGGTGCCCCAGGAGTGCAGTACACAGGTTTACTTGGAAATATTTCCTTGCTGATTCCCTGGGCTTAGTGTTAGCCTACCCCAGGAGTAAAAGGCATGCATGCACACTCAAGGATATTTATGGTATATAGGAGACGTTATCTTTAAAATACTACAATGACAGACTGTCTATAAAATGGAATCCTTTCCCTGCAATCTGAGCTACCTCAGCCATAGAACAGAACAATTTTACACTTTAAATTATATTTTTTCTTCAAGCCCCAAGTTTTATATTAAAAAAATGAGCTGTAAAAGCAGTCCCTTTCGCTTTTCTCTCTCCCATCCCCAAATAGCTAAGCCCAGGGTCCAAGCAGCAATTGGAAAGCACAATGTAGCTACGAAGGAACCCTAGAGACGATTGTTTCCTCTGCTCGCCGCTGGCATTTCAAGTCTAATAACAGCCGAAGTCCTTATCTTCTGCTGCTGTCCCTGTGCTGTTCCCAGAATACAAGAACAAGCGGCAGAAGATTACTAATTGAAAAAGAAGGAAAACAGTAATTAAAGCTCAAAATGAAGCCCACAATGAAAGCATCAGAAAATTACCTGCTTCATGTGCTCTCCATCTTCAAAGTCTTCTGGGAACTTTGGTGAAGAGGGCTGAAAGAATATTACAACCAAATCAACATGTGCCCTGGCAGACTGCCAGGACACAAGTAGGAAAACCAAGTAAGAAATTAAAATTTGCTGGGAAGGAAAGACAGATGCTCACTCTTCCATATACAGACACATGATTGCTATTGCTATTACTATTATTATTATCATTACTTTTAATGCTACCTGACTTCCTTTTTTTGTGGTGCTGGTATTTTCAATCCAGGGCACTGTACATAGTCCTACAAACATTATGTTAACATAAACTTCATCACAGCTTAGTTTCCAAAGCATTTCCTGTGAGGACAATCCAGTGGCGTCAGAGAAAACCAAAGCAATTTTGTTAAACATATAGTTGAAAAAGGGCCCAGGTGCCCCTGGCTCACATCTGTAATCCTAGCTATGAAGGAAGCTGAGATCTGAGGATGGCAGTTTGAAGGCAGCCCAGGCAGGAAAGTCCATGAGACTCATCTCCAAAAACTACTCAGAAAAAAATGGACATGGTGCTGTGACTGAAGTAGTAGTAGCCTTGAGCACAAGAGGCTCAGGGACAGCGCACAGGCCCAGGACCAAAAAAAAAAAAAAAGAAAGAAAGAAAAGAAAAAAGTGCAAAAAAACCCTGTAAAACAGCAACACCAGGTAGTAGAGAACATCACGGTAAAGACCACTCCATCTTCCAAAGTTCTCACTTTCCTGGCAAAGACAAACAAGATCTCATTGTAAGATTACCTAGGTAGCTTATGTGGTCTTGAAATGAAGACACAGACGTGGCAGGCTAAGGAAAGAAGGTGGTCAAGGATAGAATCATCTCAGAGCACTGCCACCACTGGCAAAAGCAACCTCCTTATCCTCTCCCATGCTGCAAATGCAGCTATTCACATTCCACTGCAACTGCTTGGGAAAGGATCTGGGACGATTCTTACTCTGAGGTTTGAACACAAAGGTCTGGTGCTGGCTAGGCAGGGGCTCTGCAACCTAAGCCAGATGCCCAGCCATTTTTGCTTTAGTTCTGATCTTCATGAGAACGCGGAGGTCACTAGAAAGCAAACCATATGGTACGTACATCTCGGAGCTGGTTGAGAACAAAGATCCTTTCAGAGGCCGTCACCATGGGGTGGTAGGACATCTCAAAGAAGATGATCCCCAGGCTGAAGAGATCTACTTTCTGAGGGAAAAGAAGAGAGCTTTGACAAGACAGGGCAACTCCCCAGGAAGGACAGAGAGGAAGCATGCCTAAGTGTAAGACAAGCCACGCCGGGAAAACTCATTATTTGTTCTAAAAAAATTATAGATAAGACGACTGTTTAGGTGACGAGAAAGGTATCTGCCACAACGTCCCCCAACCACCTCCTTGACAATTAGTTGTAACCGGCTCAGCTAAATAGACACACATTGGTAACTGCTGGCTGGAAAGAATGGTGCAAGAGAAAAACACTAAGACGTGCTGAGACCTGTCTTTGCAACTGCAGTCTGTCTGTGCTTGCCTAGCATGGTGAGACCCGGGTCCCATCGTCAGTACCAAAATAAATTAATATATTACAAAAATAAAATAACATAAAAAAGTACACAGAAAGACATTCCATGTCTCCTCCTGATGGGCAGCCACCAGCCACCATTTATTTAATTTTATTATTATTATTATTTGTGGTACTAGGGTTTGAACTCAGGGCCTTGCACTTGCTAGGCAGGTGTTCTGCCACTTGAAGCACTCTATTCCCCCAGCACATTTTGCTTTAGGTTTTTATTTAGCTTCACTTTTTTCCCAGGCTGGCGTCAGACCAAGATCTTGCTACTTCGAATGTCTGAGTATCTGGGATTGTGAATCCAGATACCGACTTGTTGGCTGAGACGAGAGTCTTTTCTTTTTCCTCCCAGTCTGTGCTTTCCACGTAGCTGGGCCGCCAAGCCCAGCTCTCTGCCCCCAAGTTGTCATGGTCTCTCACTTTTCTGCCTTTTATCTAGCCGATGCCCTGTCAAGGAAGGCCTTCCCCGTCAGTCTGCACACAGCTCCTTCCCTCTGAGCCCTTATCACACACAATTCTTTCTTTTATGTTTTCCTTCTTTATTGTCCGTTTCATCTACCACTGAGCTTCCTGAGGGCTGGGACTCAGCTGTCTCACCCATGAGACTCTGTTCCCTGCACTCCCAGGACCCGGTCCAGGACGGGGTACCCCAAGTTCTGGGCAGTAGCAGTGCCAGCTAAAGTGCCTGACCTCGGGCGCCACACATCCACCCGGAGCAGCACGTGGTGAATGCTCATGATCGTGTCGGTTGGTTATTGAGCCCTGACTGCTGTGAGCTGAGTGTTCTGGTTCCTCCCTCTTGCTGCCCCCGCTGCCCGCCCCCATACCTGGTTGTACGTAGACTTGGTGCTCCCTTGGACCTCGGGGCTCACATACAGAGCAGTGCCCACCATGCCAGTCAGATGGCCTGTGTGGAGGAGACAGGGGAGCTTGCCATTAGCAGAACCACGGAGAAGGTAAGTTCAAAAGAAAACAAATACAGAGAGATCTTTAGAGCCAGGCCTGGGGACATGACTCAAGTGGTAGAGCATTTGTCTAATGAACAGGAGGCTTGAATCCAATCCCTAGTACTAGCAAAATAAATACATAAGTAAATAGATAAAAGAGGAAAATAAGGGGAGAGGCCCAACTGGTTGGCTGTCTGCAACGCTCATGAGCAGCCAAAAGTTGAGCAGGGGTCCAGGCCGGCCACGCTGTCCTACCAACTGTCCCACTTTGTACTAGGTCCCTGCCACAGCGAGCAGGCCCTGGGCAGAGTCTACGTTGAGCACTTGGGGTAAAAAGTACAGCTCTGCTCAGCAAAGCCTACTTATTCCACTGAGAATAATTAATTCAGTGAAAAAAATCATTAAAACTTTCCATGATTACACTAATTTAATGAATAACAAATTAGCTTTAGGGTAAGATAGTTTGTGATCTGCTTTATTTATTTGATTTTTTGTTTTTGGTGCTGGTAACTGGGACTTGAACTCAGGACTTGAGATTTTTTGCTCAAGACTGGCACTCTACCACTTGAGCCACAGCTCCATTCTGGCTTTTGTTAATTAACTGGAAATGATAAGAGCCTCATAGGCTTTCTGGATCAAGCTGTCTTTGAATCATGATCCTCAGATCTCAGTCTCCTGAGTAGCTGGTATTTCAGGTGTAAGTCACTAGTGCTCAGCCTGCAGCTGGTTTGTAAACACATGAGGGAAATCCCCACTTCTGATTTACCTGAAGGGTCTGACTTTGTCAAGTGATCTCCAGCCTGATCATCCTGTTTGCCATCTGCCTGAAAACACCAACAGGCGAAATAGTTCATCAGATACTTCCAGATTCCATGGGAGTACCCTGTTCATTCCTCAATGAAGACAAAAAAACCTTACATGGAATCAGAACAGTTACAATAACTGCACTGAGGAGTCATGAGCCACTACGCTCAGCTGCCATTGTCTGTTTGTTTGTTTGTTTTTTTGGGGGGTCCGGTCATGGGGCTTGAACTCTGGGCCTGGGCGCTGTCCCTCAGCTCTTCAGGTCAAGGCTAGCACTCTACCACTTGAGCCACAGCGCCACTTCCGGCTTTTTTCTTTTTGCTTATATGGTGCTGAGGAATCGAACCCAGGGCTTCATGCATGCAAGGCAAGCGCTCTACCACTGAGCCACCTTCCCAGCCCCTGTCATTGTTTTTCATACATTCTCATTCTTTCAAGTAAATAGATTCTATTTGCGCATTACCAATAGGAAAGTGAAAGGCTTGTCTAGTGGATGTCTCTTCTCCCCCTGATTTCATGTGAGCCTTGAATAAGTTAACTAGAGCTTAGGTTCCACTGTCAGCATTTTGGTGGTTACCTGGAGGTAAGAGTCTCATGGGACATTTCTACCTGAGGATGGCTTCGAACCGTAATCCTCAGATTTCAGCCTCCTGAGTAGCTAGGATTACAGGCATGAGCCACCAGCACTCAGCCCCAATTTTTAAAATACTCACAGCAAAGGCTAGATGGTCGGTGGCCAAGCCAAAATCACCGATCTTCACGTGGTCATCGGAATCCAGAAAAATGTTGACAGGCTTCAGATCCCGGTGAATCATGCCCTGTTGGAGAACAAGAAACAAGCATGGCTTCCCACGGTTCACGCGGCTGAAAGGCCAGTCAGGCGGGCACCTGCACACCACCTACTCTGAGATGCCTGGACACGGCAACACCACCTGACTGTACTTGACGAGGACCACCTCCTGGTTCCACCCAGGGCTGGTCCTCCCTGAACGGGGGATGCCCAAGCATCCAGGTCCCTCTCCATCTGAGGTTCAAGAAAAATGAAGCAAAGGAAAAAAACGAACATATTTCCACTGGCTAATGACCGTTTTTAAATGTTCCTCCCTAACACTAGTCCCAGCAGCATTTCTACCATACTGGCAATTCCTGGCTTCAAAATAACATTCTTTGCTACAATTACTCAAATCAGAAGTTAGAGACTATTCTGCCAGGAACATCACATAAGAATATAACCACAGCTCTGTTTCAGTGAGACTTCATTGGTACACAATTCACTTGAGTTTCATTGTCCCACAGGGCCATGGAGCTGCTCCCTGTCTCCACTGTCAGTGAGCTCTTTAAGCTCTGATGCTTGGTAGTGCTGCTTGTCTTTTGACACTTTGTTCTACAGCTACAAGCCAGAATATAGCAATATCCCCACAGTCCTCGTATTTTTTTTCTCCTTTCTCGCATTTGCTTTGTAGTGGTGAATTTATGTAAATTGTTAATTGTTAGTGAAGAGATGCTGAGAGGTTTACTTTCTCGTGGATGTAAGCCAATCCGTCCAGAATCTCTCGGAAAAGCCTCCAGAGCCTGCTGGTATCTCGGTACAACCCCTGGTCGATGGTGTCCCGCAAGGTGCTCTTTTCACAGTACTCCATCTACAAACAAGAACACAGGACCCATACTGAAACTCACAACGTGGATTTCAAGCAGTTATGGAAAAATCTGATTTCTGACGGGTGTTGGTAGTACTGAGACTCAAACCCAGGGCCTTATGCATACTAGGAAAGCATATCATCAGCTAAGAGTACTTCAAAGAATCAAAAATAAAACAAAAATTAGGCTAATAGCCTGATGACATCATTCGCTTTTTTATCTGTACATGAAAGCTAAATGACCTTCCCGAGTCTGGAGCAGTGACTGCAGACGTGAAAACCCTGGAGGAGGGCCGGGACCCCCACTTCGGTGCACCAGGGAGGAACGCGCAGGAGCCCCTGGCTGAAGCTGTGTCTGGGGGATACCCAGGGCCAGAGTGGAACTTTTTCAGGACAAAACGTTTTTTTGTTTTAAAACAGAGGAAGGTCGGCCTTCTTCCTCTTATCCTCACAGTCCCCAGGGGCAGATTCTGTTCTGTTTCTGTGTGTCTAAGTCAGGGCCTCCCAAAGTCTTCTGATCCCATTCTCTTTACTCTCTACCCCAGACAGACACCTGGCACCCGGCAGAGGTGTGCAGTACCAGGAGCTGAGGGGCAGACACCTTGTAACCAGAGCAAGTGGGGCTGCAAAGACACCAGGAGAGCAGCACTGCATTAGGCCCCTATCTAAGGCATCCTTTTTCTATGGAGTGCTGGATCTCACACGGAAAGCCCTGCCCTCCTGCAGAGAATCTTAACACTGACCACAGGCCTGTGCACTCAGGGTACGGGAAACCTCCTTAGGTCTGCGGCTGTCTCTGCTGGCAGAGCCCGCTGTCTGAGGCTGGAGACAGGCCAACACCCAGGTTCTGGTTGGGAGCCCCTCACTGGAACCTGTCTGCCTGTGGCTCTTGTCTGTTGCAGGTTCCCAGATGAACTGTGAAGCCTCAAGCCATTCCAGTTCCTTGACGGGACTCAGTGGTGTTTGTGGGCATATCCAGAGTGACACTTATGGGACTTGGACATGTGTGAGATGAGCTACCGTCCTCTAATTTGTAGAGCAATGGAGGCACAAAAGGCTGGAGAATCTCATCCGCGCTCACACAGGCAGGACAGGTGGATCAGGAGGGGAACTTTCACGGCCCAGTCAGCAGCTGCCCTCCGACACTCTCTGATAGCCACAGGTTGTTTTGAGTGTGGGCCAGCGCCTCGTCACAGCACCCTGCGATGCGCCTGCTGGCAGCTGCAGGCGCTGCGCCTCACCTCACCTGGATGTACAGGTAGTGCACGGCCTCCGTGGCCGCCGCCGGCTCACTTCCATGGTGAGTGTTCTTATCATGGTTGTCTTCATCCTACGCCAAGAACACAGGGGGCTCAAAGTGGGAGCCTCAGTGAAACAAAACCATGGTCACCCCTGCAAATCTGCGCCTACCCCCATGGCCATCCTGGAGCCTTAGAGGAGGTGAGCGAGCAGAATGCAGCCGGGGTTCTTTAGTAGCTCACAGCAATTTTAAGTCTGCTTGAAGCAGAAGGTTCCGTGTAGCTTAGAGGTATTTGCCACACGAGGTGGTAGAAAAACAGAAAACAAGTAGGTATTGAAGTTGTGCCACCACCTGCTACCAGTCAGTTTTTTTATTACCACTGATGTTCGGGGGATAAGAAGGGCAGAAAGCACCCAGGCTGACAGTGAAGGCTTCCGTACTGACGGACGCCTCCCTTGGGTGGGTCACCATGGAAGCAGTTTAAGTGAGTGTACTACCAAAGCACACTGCCCTGTGGGCTGCAGCACTGAACAGTAAGCTCCCGGTTCTTCTCCAGGGTGGGAAGTGTCAGGCCATATAAGACCCTGAAGTCATTCGGCACATAGGAGACAGATTTGCATGCTTTTGTCATCTGCCCTCTGCCCATATTGATGATTTTGTGTGGCCTGCGAACTTGGGATGGCCCTGACTCCCTGTTCCATGTCTCCATGTTCTTTTTCTTTTTTTTTTTTGCTTATGTGGTGCTGAGGAATTGAACCCAGGGCCTCATGCATGAGAGGCAAGTGGTCTACCACTGAGCCACCTTCCCAGCCCTTCTCCATGTTCTTTACTGGCTTGTTCCCTAAGGCTAATTTTCTCTCTAATACCTGGCATCTTTTGAGAAAAAAAATTCTTTTTGTTCTGACAGATGTGTTTGAATACTCTCATCCCTAAATATGTAAACAGCATCAGTTAGTTCCTGACTGATTTCTAGTTTTTATGAGGAACGATTTTTGCACATTTTTTCCTTATGAAAGAAAATTAAAGCTTGGCTCTGGAGACAAGCGGCTTCTATTCTCGAGCCACTTATGTCCTCTCCAGAGAATGTGCTGAAGGGGATGAATGTGTGGAGGCTTCCTCCCTCCTTTAGGGTGCTGGGGGTGCTGCTCAGGACATGGGAATGAAGCGTGTCCTGACTCCAGGGCCATGCACCACCTCTGCCTTACCAGCGGTGAGGACTATTTAATGGCATTATCCTGGCTAAATTTACAATTTAAAATTTTAAACTGAGAGGAGTATAAGGTGACTTTAATTAGCAAGTGATTTTAATATAAAGTACTTTTAAAAACTACACGAATGCATTCCAACCTCCTTCATATCAATTTACACGCTCATCTAGCAGAGTCCACACACAGGTGGTTCTTTATCTACAATGGATGTGCCCAATAACTGCTGATAATTTTTCTCTTCTTCCCATAATAAAGTCATCACAAGCAAGGCCTGCTCACTGAGCATTCACTAAACAGCAGCTGTCCCTCAGCATTCCCCGCTACATGGGACCTCCACACCCAGCAGGGGGGGCTGCGGCCTGGGCAGAGAAACAAGAAGGACTGAGTGGGCCCCAAGCCTGTGATCTTTCAAGCTTGCTGAAGCTATGTGAAGAAACTGTGAACACAGACTCCTGAGACAAGTTCAATGCATTGCATGTTTACCTCATGCTGACTTTTGCTGTTCTCATCTTCGTTGTCAAAGATGATGTCACTTTCGGAATCTGAAGCGGGTCTTAAAAGAGACAAACATTAAGTCCGGCAGTGTAATCCTGTAATTACGCCTGTAATCCTAGCTACTCAGGAGGCTGAGATCTGAGGATCATAATTCAAAGACAGCAAGGGTAGGAAAGTCTGTGAGACTCTTATCTCCAATAAACCATCAGAAGACTAGAAGTGGTGCTGTGGCTCAAGAGGTAGAGCACTAGCCTTGAGCTGAAAAGCTGAGGGACAGCACCCAGGCCCAGAGTTCAAGCCCCACAACCAACCCCCCAAAAAAGGCAGAAACAGGGAAATGCCTGAAAAAACCACACCTTGAGGCTGTGCTGTGGCCCACAATCATTAATAGCTAAACTTAACTAAAAAACAACTTGCAGCCTTGGATACAAAGAAGACCAGAGTAGATTCTGGTAACTCTGGGTTCCATGGCCTGCAGGGAGCATTCTATCCAGACCTAAAACTAGCTCCTGAATGGCCCAAGTGCCCTACAAGATATTCTCTTAAGTTAGTTAACAATGATGAAACACTGAAAGTAGTTTCTGTTCTTGACTTTCCACTTTTTCCTTCCCCTTGGGCTTGGATGTTAGGGGATGTTTTCATTTTTTCCTGGTGGTACTGGGGTTTGAACCCAGGGCCTTGAGCTTGCTAGTCAGGGGCTCTACCACTTGAAGCATGCTCCCAGCCCCTTTTTGCCCTGCTTATTTTGTGAACAGGACCTCATGTTTATGCCCAGACCCACACGGACCCTGATCCTTCTGTTTACGCTTCCTAGGTACCTGGGAGGACAGGCTGGGTGCCAGTCGGCTGGCCTTTTCACTGGCCGAGATGTCTCATGGACTTTGCTGGTTCTAGGTTGGCCTAGAACCTCGGTACTCACGGTCTCAGTATCCAGAGCAGCTAGGATTACAGGCATGAGCCACTCACCAGGCAGCTGCTGGAGATCAGTGGGGACAAACTCCTGTGGGTGGCATTTGGTACTTTGCTAACCATGGGCCTAACAGGGTCAAGACTGCAGGGAGGCACAGTGGGTTTGTGGGGGTCCCGCCCGGCACCCGTCCCTTACAGGAAGGACTGCGAGAAGACCCCATCATGTTCATCCTCCTCCTCCTCGTCACTGCTGGAGCCGGGGCCGGCCGGGGAGCGCTCTGAGGTGCTCCACTCCACGGAGCTGCTGATGGGTGGCGGGGCGGCGGCCTCCACGCTGCCCTCGGGCGAGGCCTTGCCCGCGGGGGCCCCGTGCTCAGCTCCCCCATCCGCGGCCTGGTTCCGGGCTGGGGGCCTCGCGTCTGGGGGCCGCTCGTGCCGCTCGATCCAGGCGTTGTAGTAGCGCACGATGTTCTCATGGTGCAGGCGCGACAGCAGTGTCACCTCGCCCTTGATCCTGCGGAAGTGCCTGCTGGCCGGGTTAATGGCGATGCGCTTCACCGCGTAGCAGCAGCCGTCCAGCTTGTTCTGCACCTACCCGGGCAGGAGCAGAGGCCCTGATAAGGCTGGAAGCTCACTGGCCCCACCGCCACCCCGGGGGAACTCGGATGAGCTCCCAACCACACACCCTTGCAGAAGAAGGCCTCTACTGCAAACAGGACACAGCTCACCACTATCCACAGGCACAGAGCTTGCTAAGGAATCCAGGGGAAAACAACCTCAGTCCCTCCAGCCTCCCTTGTTTAAATATAGGGCTTCACTTTGTAGCCCAGGCTGACCTCAAACTTTCCATCCTCCTGCCTCAGCCTCTAAAGTGCCGTGATTACAGTGTGTATCACCACACCGAGTTTTTTTTTTAAAAAACAAGTCTTTCTGCAAATCTTTCTGCCCCAGACCTCCGAATGCTGCCTTCACCACTCTCCTAAACATTAATTTCACTGACAAATACCTCCTACTCACTGTCTAGTAAGGGTGAAGCGCTTGCAATGTTGCAAGCCCCATTTACTACAAGGTATAGAGGCCCTCTACAGGAAGAGTGATGTTTCCTCTGAGAATTCTAGACAGAAACATGACCACAGGTGCAAGATGACACGTGTGTGTACACACGCACCTGTACACGCACACACACTGAGGATTAAATTCATGGCCCTGCAAGTGCTATGTCCTTTACAATATTCAACAGTGTTTAGGAATAGCATAATTATATACAAGCAAGACAGATAATGGAGACCAGAGGACAGAACAACAGCATACCTTAAAAACACATCGCTAAGCCGAGCACAAGTGGCTCACACCTGTAATCCTAGCTACTCAGGAGGCTGAGATCTGAGGATCGTAGTTCAAAGCCAGCCCAGCAGGAAAGTCTGTGAGACTCTTGTCTCCAATTAACCACCAGAAAACTGGAAGTGATGCTGTGGCTCAAGTAATAGAGTACTAGCGTTGAGCAAAAGAGCTCAGGGACAGCGCCCAGACCAAGAGTTCAAGTCCCACGACTGAAAAACAACAACAAACCCACACTGTTAGCTTCCCATTTCCAGAAGAGCTGGGAATTAAAGGCATCAGGGCCATCTGGGGCCATGTGCCAGGGTGACCCCACCTCGATTCTGGCCTTGGAAGCCTCTTTTCTACAGCAAATGGGAAAAAGAACTTCTTCCTGAACGAAGCCTATGAAGATATTCTTCATTCTTTCCTACCTCAGCACAGAAGCCAGCCCCTAAGTCTGTGCCAGTGAAACGGAAAGGACTGGGGACAACTCTGTCACACCTTGATGACCGCTCCGAAAGCACCTTTGCCGAGAAGCTGCAGTTCCTCAAATTCAATGAAGTAGCGCGAAAACTGCCGCTGGGTCTCACTGAAGAACGAGGCGCTGGGCAGCCGGCTGCTGGGGATAACGGTCTCCACGTAATCTTGTCCCCCGGAATCTGAAGGAAGAGGCATGGGGAACATGGGGAAAGCAGGGCGTGGGGGTCATGCCTGCTGCTCCAATACTCAGGAGGCGGAAGGGAAAGGGCCACAGAGCAAGAGCCCTGCTTTCAAACAGAGAGAAGAGCGAGCCAACTCTGCCACGAGGCACGGCCTGGGCCCCAGCCAGCGGTCTGAAGGAGCACATCCTCCCTGAAGGGCCTTTAACAAGTCTGCTGCCCACCCTGCCCTCCTTAAAGGAGGAAGAACTATATCATCAGCCTGGATCCCTGGGGTGGAGTGAGTGACTGAACCAGAGAGCCAGAACCCAAACCAGGGCTCTGGCGCCGTCCCAGCCTGACAGAGGTTCCTTGATCTACTGGCAGGGAAACCAGGCCACTGGGTCATAAGGTGACTGACGCAGGAAGGAACTACATGTCACTGAGGTCACTCCACTGGATATCCACTCGATCAGAAAATACTGGAACATCAGGGTGGCATAAACATTTCTAACTGAACAGATTTATGTGGCGCTTGGCCTAAAATAGATGAAATAAATACTCCACGTATCCTCCTCCAATGTCAGGTTTATATATACTTTCAAAAACGTTATGTCAAATGATAGGGGCTGGAGGCATGCTCTTATGATACAGTACCTGAGTTTAGGCTCCAGTACCACCACAGCAAAGCAAAGGAAAGCAGAGAAAGAACAGGCAGCCTTGCCTAGCGGTGCATGCCTGGAATCCCAGCACTCGGGAGGTAGAGGCAGGAGCACCAAGATTCACAATGAGAGCCCAGTGCAAAGAAACCGAGAGAGGAAGAGAAAGAAAGAAAAACAATGGAGACACCCACCTTCAGGGCTCTGCTCCACTAAAGGCATCTTTGGCTGAGGGTTTATGAAGCTGTGTTTCAATAACTGCTGAGGTGTCCATCTGTCTTTGTCATCCAGGCAGACGCACCTGGAGGAATGAGGACTCAGCAACACGCAAGAGAAGGGCGGCTCCCCATGGGCCTACTCGTAGAAATAGCCTCCCGGGAGCCACGGAACCTATGGGCTCACTTTGAAACGGGTTAAAGGCATGTGACTCTCAGGGACTGCAGATCCCCGGCTGTGGCTCTCTTAGCCACAGGGAAGCAGGGGGTGGAATCACACTCCTGAGGCTGTTCCTGGGTAGGAGGCCCTGCCCTGCACCTCTTAGGAAACAGCAGCGGTGGGAAGGCAGAAGCCAGGCACTGATGGCTCACACGTGTAAGCCAGCTAAGGCTGAGATCCGAGGATTTCACTGCAAAGCCAGCCCAAGCAGGACAGCCCAGGAGGCTTATCTCCAATTAGCCAGCAAAAAGCCAGAAGTGGAGTGGAGGTGTGGCTCAACAGGTACACTGCCAGCCTGGAGAGAAAAAGCAAATGGACAGTGCATGGGCTCTGAGTGTAAGCCCCCGCAGTGGCACGCACAGACAAAAGTGGGAGGGAAAGCGCTGCCGTTTGAAAGGCCGGGCATTCCCTACTGCTCCCCGCCGTGGCGGTCCCTGCCCACCGCGGCAGCAGGACTTGCTGGACTACTCCAGGCCGTCCCCTGAACAGCTGACATCGCTCATGAACCCGCGTGCAGGGGAGCGTGGGAGCCAAGGCCACAGTGAGCAGAGGGAGCCAACAGGTCCCACAGGCTGGGGAGCGAGGGCCGCCACGCCCGTGCCCCACGCGTCCAGGAGCAAGGTGCCGCTGGAGAAGGGCGAGGCACTCACTTCCTCAGGAAATCCTGAAAGTCTGCCGGCAGGTCTCTGGGGATGGTCACGGGGAACTCGCCACACTCCTGCCCTTGGCTGAGGGAGAGCAGCAGGAGGCCCAGGCGCCACACGTCCCCTTTCTTCCCGCTTTTGTAAGGCAGGGCGCTGTCGCTGAATCGAACTCGCGTCTGCTCAAACACGTCATCCTTGCAGATGTCCGCCAGGCGCTTGGAGATGCTGTAGTCCGTGATCTTGACCGTGCCCTGGGCGTCTACCAGGACACTCGATGCGCTCAGGACCTTGTGCACCACGGAGTTGCTGTGCAGGTAATCGAGGCCAGCCAGGAGCTGGGTGGCAAACCTGCGGAGCTGCGGCACGGGGATGGGGCCCGCGTGGCTCAGGTGCTCGGCGAGCGACAGGCCGCTGACGTGCTCCACCAACATGTCCACCACCATGCAGTCATCCTGCTCTCTGAAGCTCATGGCGAAGTAGCGGACTACGTTTGGATGGTTCAGTTTCACCAAAGAGCTGAATTCTGTTTCTGCCCCCTGAATCTAGAAGGACAAAGATTCAATAGACATGAATTGGTATTTTACTACTTCAAAAGTAAAGTATCTGTTATCAAGTACACTTTGCGATGAGAACAAAACAATTTTTTTTCTGAGCCAAATCCTTCCCTTAAACTGTGTGGCCAACCTAGCAGCTAATAAAGATGCAAAAAATATGCTGAATCCTCTACTTTTTTAATTTTATCCAGAAGCTTGGACTATAGGTATTGAACTCAGCTCAGAAGTTACCAATGATTACAGTGTATTTGCTTTCAGTTTTTCTTTTCTTTTCTTTTGTTGGTTGTGGGGCTTGAACTCAGGGTTTGGATGCTATCCCTGAGCTTTTCCACCCAAGGCTTTCGCTCTACCACTTTGAGCCACAGCTCCACTTCTGGTTTTCTGGTAGGTAATTGGAAATAAAAGTCTCATGGACTTTCCTGCCTTGGCTGGCTTTGATCCTCAGATCTCAGCCTCCTGAGTAGGTACGATTACAAGCATGAGACACTGGAGTCTGGTAAGTTTTTTTCTTTTTTTGTCAGATGAGGGACTTGAACTCAGGGCCTGGGCATTGTCCAGGAGCCTCTTTGTGCCTAAGGATAGCACTCTACCACTTGAGCAACAGCATCAATTCCGGTTTTTAAATGGTTAATTGGAGAGAAGAGTCTCACAGGGACTTTTCTGCCTGGGCTGGCTTTAAACCACAATCATCAGATTTCAGCCTCCTGAGTATCTAGGATTACAGACATGAGCCACCAGCGCCCAGCTAAGTTTTTCTTTTTCTTTTATTTACTTATTTATTTGTCAGTTGTGGGGCTTGAACTCTGGGACTGGGCACTGTCCCTGAGCTCCTCAGCTCAAGGAGAGTGCTCTACTTGAGCCACAGCACCATGTCCAGTTTTCTGGTGGTTAATTGGAGATAAGAGTCTCATGGAGGGAGGGGAAGCTGGCTCAGTGGTAGAGCACTTGCCTTGCAGGCATGAGGCCCTGGGTTCGATTCCTCAGCACCACATAAGCAAAAAAAGCCAGAAGTGGCGCTGTGGCTCATGTGGTAGATCGCTAGCCTTGAGCTGAAGAGCTGAGGGACAGCGCCCAGGCCCAGAGTTCAGGCCCCACGACCAGACCAAAAAAAAAAAAAGTCTCATGGAAGAACTACTAGCCAGGTGTTGGTGACTCACACCTGTAATCCTAGCTACTAAGGAGGCTGAGGTCTGAGGATCGAAGATCGAAGTTCAAAGCCAGCCCAGGCAGGAAAGTCCGTGAGACTCTTATCTCCAATAAACCACTTGAAAACCAGAAGTGGCGCTGTGGCTCAAGTGGTAGAGCCTTGCCTTGAGCTGAAGAGTGCAGGAACAGCACCCAAGCCCAGAGTTCAAGCCCCATGACTCACCAAAACAACAACAACAACAAAAAGAGTCTCATGGACTTTTCTGCCTAGTCTGGCTTTGAACCGTAATCCTTAGATCTCAGTTTCCTGAGTAGCTAGTATTACAGGCATGAGCCACTGGTGCCCAGCAAGTTTTTCTTTCTTTTTATTTTATTGTGAGAATACCATACAGAAGAGTTACAATTACATGGGCAAGATAACGAGTACATTTCTTATCAAGCATTGTTGCCTCCCGGTACTCTACATGATCAGTGAGATTTCTCTAGTAACGAACTATAGAAATGATCCCTGAAAGTAGTCTTAAGGTTTTCTTTTTATATACAAAGTACACACATTTTAAATACCATGCCTTTCCTCTTTATAGTTACGTTACTGCGTAACAACTATAATATGCAATATTAAGTATTCTCTTTATACTCTGTATTATAAATTGATATTATGATTCTTCAACCTGAATACCCCACCCACTAAGAAGCCCCACCCACTCAGCTCTGGGAGCCAATCAAACCTGATGCTGGAGGTGAACCCACACCTACCTGCTTTTTGCACTTGTCAATCTTCTCTTTCTCTTGACTGGTCAGAAATGGACCCAATTTTTTCTGCCACTGAAGGACCCACTCATACAACAAGACAAAGCTGCCAGTCGCTGTTTCCAAAGCATTGTAGACTAATTTTCCCAGCTGTTCATCGCTGCCTGCAAATGAAACAGAACAGTCATGAAATCTCATTCACTCACTCGCTCATTTAACAGTGTGACTCTGCTATGTGCTGTGAGAACTATTTTTCTAAAATATATGTGCTCTCTGCTTGAAAGCCTTCTGTGGACTGAGCTGGTTTGAACAAGACCGTGTCTACTCTATACTCTGTTCCCTTATGATTAACTTTCAGCGGTACGACTGCTTTAATAAACATGTATTTACTCACCAACACATTTTCCTTTGTGTACCATGAGCTGGTCAGGACCTCCCGCAGAGAAATACAGGATTTCACAGGAGCCAGGGGAATCATCGCTGCCACATATGGAATACTGACGATCGCGCCTTCAAAATACCGAGGGACAATTTGTTTTCTTTAAGATTAGGACAGGAAGTCTTGCTCTTCTGGTTCCAGAAGATGACTGGCCCTCTCCACCCTCAACTGATCATCTTCCTTGGTGCTTTGACCTTGGCTGTCACCGTCACTCATTCTGTCTCACTGTCAGAAATGGGGAGCGGCCCAGGCTGAGCGCTGGACAGAGGCCCTGGGAAACAAAGGCGGCTGGCTTGCTCAAAGGAGGAGGTGGCGTGGTGGGGCAGCGGGGCGGGACAGGATAGAATGAAATGGGAAATCCACTCCTCTTCCATGGTGCCCACTTTCTACTCTCCACTTGGGGCCAGGAGGAGTGGGGCATGATGCGAACCTGAAGACACCATGCTGCCTGACATCTCCAGAGCTGCTCATGGCTACACCTCCCCTCCCCCACCCCTCCCCCCAAATAACAATTCTTGGGACAGGGCATGGCGGCATATATAATCTCAGCTACTCAGGAGGCCAACCTAAACAATTTACTGAGACTCTGTCTTTTTTTTTTTTTTTTTTGGGTCCGGTTGTGGGGCCTGAACTCTGGGCCTGGGCGCTGTCCCTCAGCTCTTCAGGTCAAGGCTAGCGCTCTACAGCCACAGCACTACTTCCGGCTTTCTTTTTGCTTATGTGGTGCAGAGGAATCGAACCCAGGGCCTCAGGCATGCAAGGAAGCACTCTACCACTGAGCCACCCTCCTAGCCTGAGACTCTGTCTTAAAATACAATTTGAAAGTACTGGGAGTATAGCTCAGTGACAGAACGCTTTACTAGTGTATGCGAGGCCCTGGGTTCAATCCCCAGTAAAAACTAAAGATCAAATAAGGATGGTTGGAAACTGGTTTTATGTGGCTATCCAATTCAGTAAGACAGGCAGGCTTCGAGAGGGTTATTGACACTGAAGACCCACCAAACTTCACAAGTGTGTGAAGTCCATAGGACTCTCATATCCAGTTAACCACCAAAAAGTTCAAAGTGGAGCTGTGGCTCAAATGTTAGAGCACCAGCCTTGAGCAAAAACAGTGTAAGGAATATCACCAGTTCCTAAGTTGAAGCCTGAATACCAGCACACACCTTACCGCGTCCCTCCCCCATCCCCCAGGAATGCCAAGATTTACCGTGCCCTTCCAGAGGAGCTGGTGCGGTGTTTGCCATTTCCCACAAAGTCAGGGGAGCCTCCACACAGAGTGTGTGCCGTTCTATGTCCTCCTGGGTCTCTCTTAGAACTAGGATCTTGGTTTGACAGACTAGCAATTTCCAGACGCTCCTAGAAAAAGAAATACAAATCCTAGTTTAGATGCAAGTCTAGAATGGAAGACAAGCACTGAATTTAATGGTGAATTCAGGGCCAGACATGTCTTGTTTAAACTGAATGACTACAATGGAATAAAACTCAACTTATACCAACTTAATGCCCAAATATGTACTGGGTCAAAAACTAAAGTCTAAGCCAGGTGCTGGTGGCTCACACCTGTAATCCTAGCTACTCAGGAGCCTGAGATCTGAGGATCCTGGGTCAAGGCCAGCCCAGACAGAAAAGTCCCTGAGACTCTTTTTTTTTCTTTTTTCTTTTTGGTTGGTTGTGGGGCGTGAACTCTGGACTTGAGCGCTCTCCCAGAGCTCTTCAGCTCAAGGCAAGTGCTCTACCCACTTGAGCCACAGTGCCACTTCTGGTTTTCTAGTGGCTTATTGGAGATAAGAGTCTCACGGACTTTCCTGCCTGGGCTGGCTTTGAACTGCGATCCTCAGATCTCAGCCTCCTGAGTAGCTAGGATTATAGGCGTGAGCTACCAGTGCCTGGCTCCCTTAGACTCTTATCTCCAATAAACCACCAGAAAACTGGAAGTGGCGCTGTGGATCAAGTGGTAGAGCGCTAGCCTAGAGGTGAAGAGCTGAGGGACAGAGCCCAGTCCCAGAGTTCAAGCCCCATGACGGACCAAAAAAAAAAAAAAAAGAGTCCAGGTTGCAGGTTTTTTTGGTTTGTTTTGTTTATATTGTTGTTGTTTTCCAGTCCTGCGGCTTAATTCAGGTCCTGGGTGCTGTCCCTGAGTTCTTCAGCTCAAGGCTAGCGCTCTACCACTTAAGCCACAGCGCCACTTCCAGCTTTTTCTGTGTATGTGGTACTGAGGAATTGAACCCAGGGCTTCATGCATGCTAAGCAAGTACTCTACCGTTAAGTCACCTTCCCAGGCCCAGGTTGCAGTTTTAAGGAGAATATGGATTTTATAGATTGGAATGCTAAGAATTTTGGAACATGCATGTGAAGTTAGGAGACTGAGCCCTTGGGCAGGCAGGGGAAGGAATTCACACAACAGCCCAGAGGCTGCCTGGAGTGTTGGGGTAGGCAGGAGAGCTGGGAAGCAGAGCTGGAGAGAGAGTCACAGCTGAGCTGAGACTGTGGAAAACGGGGCGGGGGGGGGGGGCGCTCCAGCCGTGCTGCCAGGGCTGCACACAGCCTCGGTGAATACTGCACAGGGCCTCCGTTCGGTTTCTCTACATCTAAGTCAAACGCTTCATTTGTAAAGAATGAGGAACATTTTCTCTGGATTCCTCTAATTGCGCTCACTCCCCTCCCCACACCCTCCACTGAGCAGACTCAGGAGAAAAGAAGAAAATCCTTCCAGTATCCATTTCCACCCCTTTGCTTCTAGAATCTTTCAACACCTGGGGAGATCTCAGGCAGGTGCTGAATGGGGGGGGCCACACCTCTCATATGACTTACACCCCCCCACACACAAACACCAGCATTATTTGAATTCCAGCCTTGTTTATTTACAAATTGTCACACTTCTCCTGTGACTCCTCCTTAAAGGGCCTGAATCACCTAAGCCTAAATCAGCTCCAGAGAATACATTCCACTCACTTTGCCATGACCTAAAACACACAAGTGAATGTTTGTTACTTCACTTTAAGGGTTACTACTGAAAGCAACAGAGAGGGAAAATCGATCTTGATGGACATGAAAGTAAGTCATTTATGCTTATCTTAGTGCAAGCGAATAGACAGAGTACCTGCTTCGCCATTTCTTTCCTCTTTTTCTCTTCTTTTATCTCTTCTTTCCTTCTCTGAATCTCATGAAGGATTTCACGTTGCTAAAATGAATAAACCACAGTCAGATGCTGATCTCTGAAAAAACACAGTGAGAAACAGGGACTGTGAATTACAACCACCTAGAGCCTCGCTCCTGAGAGACCTGGACACGGAGAACCTGGGTAGGAGCCAGCTGCAGCGGCATGATGTCTGAGGGACCTCATGCCTCTGGCTCCCCAGTGCCTGGAGGAGGTGTGAGGGAGGACTGTGGGGAAGCACTAGCCCCCTCGGTGTCTTCATCCTCGTTGTTTTGTTTTGTTGTTGGTTGTGGGGTTTGAACTCTGGGCCTGAGCTCTTCAGCTCAAGGCAAACACTCTACTACTTGAGCCAGAGCCCCATTTCCTCTTCACCCTCTTTCTTATCTGCCCGCTCAGTGTCTGGCTCCAGGGCCAGCTTGCAGGAGTGGGCTGGGCTGAGCTGTCCCTGCCCTGGGCCTGGGGGAGATGAGGGCCGAGGTTCCACACCCCTCCACCCTCCACCCCACCCTCCACCGGGATCCACACCTGCATTTCCAGCCTTTTCAGTATAAAAAGTGGTATTTTGATCTTTATCCAATTTTTCTTAGTTCCCTAAAATTTCAGATTGTAAGTGTCAAAAGTATTAAGACCATCACTTAAACTCTAATAAGGGGGCTGGGAAGGTGGCTCAGTGGTAGAGCGCTTGCCTTACATGCCTGAGGCCCTGGGTTCAATTCTTCAGCACCACATAAGCAAAAAGAAAAAAGCCAGAAGTGGGGCTGTGGTTCAAGTGGTAGAGCGCTAGCCTTGAGCTGAAGAGCTGAGGGACAGTGCCCAGGCCCAGAGTTCAGGCCCCACGACCGGACTCCCCCCCCCAAAAAAAACTCTAATAGCAATGATATAAAATGCAAAAAAAAAAAAAACCTGGGGGGGGAATGGGGGGAGGAGATGTTGAGGGACAGGAAGGGGAAACAAAGGAGGAGGCTACAATGCTTGATAAGAAATGTGCTCATTATCTTGACCATGTAATTGTAACTCCTCTGTACGGTATTTTCATTATAAAAAAATAAAAAATAAAAACAAACATATCCTCAAATTTATGCAGTTACAACAGTATACCAAAACAATGCTGTTAGCTACATATTTACTGTCTCCTAATAATAGGAAACTATACATTCTCAATGATGACTGGACTATACAGTTTTATAGGAGGTAAGCAAGATGGTGCATGGTTACACATGCCTGGAATCCCAGCTACTCAGAAGCCAGAGGCAGGAAGCTTTAAGAGTTGTAGGTCAGTCTGGACAAAGGTAGTGAGGCCCTATTTCAAAAACAAAATTTAGGTCTGGGAATGTGGCTTAGTGGTAGAGTGTTTGTCTAGCACGTATGAAGCCCCGGGTTTGATTACTCAGTACCACATAAACAGAAAAAGCTGGAAGTGGCACTGTGGCTCACGTAGTAGAGTGCTAGCCTTGAGCAAAAGAAGCTCAGGGACAGTGCCCAGGCCCTGAGTACAAGACCCGGGACTGGCAAAATAATAATACAAGAAGGGCTGGGGTGTGGGCCTGGCTAACAAGCTGGAAGCCTTGAGGTCAGTCATTCTACTGCATAAAGTAAACAGACACAAAATGGTTAGGACTCAGTGCTAGCATAAACACTGGAAGAAGAAAACAAGGAGCCAGATACACAATTCCAAGGAAAAGTGGAAACATAGAAGGTAGGTGAGGATCTGGGAAGGGGAAGGGCAGGAGGGATAGTAGGGATGGAAAACAGGATGAAAGTATGTTTGTTAAATGCATGTATGACAACGTCACAACAAACATAAGCCCGACACTGGTGCCTTACACCTGTAATCCTAGCTACTTAGAAGGCTGAGACTGGAAGGACGGCACCTCTGGACTAGCTGGGCCAAAAGACTCCATCTTAATGCGTGGTGGTTCACACCGGTCACCCCAAGTATAAACAGGAGGGTCAGAGTGCTGGCCAACCTCAACAAAAAGTAGATACTATTAGAAAAATTGCAAATGCAGAAAGCAGTAGAGTCATGACTCAGTGGGTTTGTATGTTCTGCTCTGACTTTGAGGAAGCAATATGAAGATAAACGCATGAGGCTGCACACCATGCTGTACACCTGCAATCCCAGTACTTGGAGGCAGAGGTAGGACTGTTTTGAGACCTGCCTTGGCTACCTTGTCTCAGAAAAGCAAGAAGAGAGCAAGGTGTGTGGGGGTGGAAGGGGATGAGTGGGTGTGGCAAGCATCACTGTGAGGTAGAGGTGGAGGTTGAAGCGTTAACACATTCAACACACAGCAACTCAAAGAGCAGGCAGAACAGACCAATGGAACCAAACGAACCCTAGCAATAGAAGCTGGTGTATGCTTCATGGAAACAGTGTGAGTCACTTCATAAAAAAATAGTTATTTAATAGACGTGTTGCAGAAATGTCCAGGAAGGAAAACAAACCTATGCCCTCTTTTCTCTAATTTGCAGTGAGATCAGTTCTGGATAACTTGAACCAAAGAATACACAGGAAAAAAAATTAAAACCAAGGAAGAAGTTCAGGAACTCACACTGTACTCTTTTTTTGTAGTTGTTGTTGGTTGTGGGTCTTGAACTCTGGGCCTGGGTGCTGTCCCTCAGCTCTTCAGCTCAAGGCTAGCCCTCTACCACTTGAGCCACAGCGCCACTTCCGGCTTTTTCTATTTACGTGGTGCTGAGGACTCAAACCCAGGGCCTCATGCAGGCGAGGCAAGTGCTCTACTGCGGAGCCTCCTTCCCAGCCCCCGCCCACACTGTGTTTGATGTGAAGGATTTAAAGTAAGGAAAGGGTTCACACTCATGCAGCAGACAAAAGGACAAGGAGCGTGAGGAGCTTCGTTCCAGGCTTTGGGGCTTACTGTGGGTGGGTGGGCGTGCTGGTCTCACACGAGGAAGAGACGCAGTGGACTCCACCAGTGTGGCCAGCTCCGAAAGATGCAGGAGGGTTCCCCAACGCCCCTTCTCTTTCTCAAAGTGAGGCCGGCCTGATGGCCGTAGGGAGGGGACACGGAGGGGCCCGCGGGCCATCCCCTGCAGCTCCTGCACATGGTCAGTCCCGCTTCCAGACACAGTCAGGGGCAGCAGCCACCGAGCTCTGGGCCTGGGATGTCTCACCTCCTGCTCCTCTCTCCGCTGGGCCTCCAGCAGCCTCTGCCGCTCCTCCTGAGCCTGCCGGGCCAGCATTTCTTCATGGAAGGACTTGGGAGGGGGCTTGTTATGCTCGCTGAGAAATGACTGCACGTGGTACGCCAGCTCGAATATCATCACCTAAACACAGAAGAGCCAGCAAATAAACACAGAAGAGCCAGCAAGCGCAAGTGACCAAGCGGGAGGGCAGGGAGCGGCCGCTCTTATTCCATCTGGAGCACGGGGGACGGAACTCAGGCCCGTGGCCAGGCTCGGTGGCTGTTCCACATATGAGCCGCGCTGCCAGGCCCATCACCGTCAAGAGTCTTCACAGATTTATAAGGGGTGCTACTGGGATTTGAACTAGGGGCCTTGCACCTAGTAGCAGGCATTCTACCACTTGAGCCTTACCCCCAGTCTTTTGGTTTTAAGTATTTAGATAGGGTCTCGCCCTTTTTTCTTTTTCTAGCTATGCTTCCCATACAACTAGAGTTTGTAGATATATGCCACCATGCCCAACTTGTTTGAGATGGGAGTCTCGCTATTTTTTGCCTGGGCTGGGTTTGAAGTGCAGTCTTTCTCTCTCCACCTCTCCAATAGCTGGGATTATAAATGTGAGCCATGACACCTGGCCTCCATATTTTTCTTGTCAGCACTTGGTGCTGCCCGCTTTTCTAGTTTCTAGGGTGTGTTCTGTTTGCTCCCCTCACCTGTGGCTGAACTCTTTGCTCACTGTGGTTTTCCCAGCGTCAGGCCAGTGTCTGTGCAAGGTAATGAATTGATGAGAATCAGTGAGTCTGATGTGACTCACGTAAGAAAAGAGTCTCCGGCAAGTGTTAGTTTATGTTTATTATGATAAACAATGAGCTACTAAATTAAAAGTCGCTTAGAGGCAAATGAAAATGGTTAACAACCTGTTACTTTTAGCTGGACGTGGGGACCCCAGCCTGTAATCCTACAAAACACAACTAAAACAAGCAAAAGGGCTGCGGGCATGTGCGTCTCAAGTGGTAAAGTGCTTGCCTTATAAAGGCTTGGCCCTGGGTTCAATCCACAGTATTGGCACTCCCTCCGCCCTCTCTCCTACAAACCACGTTGCTTTCGGGTATCTATCCCCATTCAAATGATGAGATGAGTCACATCTTAATAGCTGGGTGCCACACCACCAAGAATCCCATAGCCACACTTTAATACTTAATTATATTCTACTTTACTTGAAAATAAAAACAAATTCTCTGGAATTATAGGCTTCGGGCTATGGAAACAAACTTTAGGCTGACAAGAGCCAGTGCATTCCCTGGTCTAACATGCTTTCAAGTCCCCTATGTGAACACATTTCCAGTGAGTATTGATAGTTTTAAAAAATTGTGGCCAAAGCCGGCACCCGGTGGCTCACGCCTGTAATCCTAGCTACTCAGAAGGCTGAGATCTGAAGATCATGATTCAAAGCCAGCCCAGGCAGGAAAGTCCGTGAGACTCTTATCTCCAATAAACCACTAGAAAACTGGGAAGTGATGCTGTGGTTCAAGTGGTAGAGCACTTACCTTGAGCTGAAGAGCTGAGGGACAGCGCCCAGGCCCAGAGTTCAAGCCCCATGACCAAAAAAAAAATTGTGGCCAAATATCTACAGCACGCTAGTATAAACAGGAGGTGGAATGCTTTAAATGCTAAGGGCACTCACAATGTGTGCATCCATTTCCAGAACCTTCTCACCTGTCCAAATTGAAACTTCGTACTCATGCAACAGCTGTCTACTGCCCCCAGCTCTACCCACAGCCATTCCACCCGCTGTCCCCATGAATCGGAGAACTAGTCTCACAGTATTTGTCTTAGTTTGGCCAGCATCTTCCAGTTAATGAATAGCCTGTGTTTAAGCTGGAATAAAATCCCACTGCATCCCGTCCTCTGCCGGCCTAGTGACTTGTGGTAAGATGCAGGGCAGGACAGCCAGCTGCAGCTTCCAGTGAGCAATACAATACAACTGACGTTCTATGGCAGAATGGCACCACTGAACAGGGGCTTGCGTGGCTATTGCTCTATTATTTCATGTGCCTGGGTGTAAATCCATAATGATCTTAAAATTAAAAGGTCAGTTTAGAAGAAATCAGAAAACAAAATTAAATCCTAAGTCACAAATCTAAGAATCTAGAGATTTTCTGGAGCTGAATTTTCTACAAACTCCCTGGTATTTTTCATTAGACATTGGAGCCCCTTAGACCTGAAGGAAATTTTAGAAGAATTCCCCAGTTCTCATCTCTCACCTCTCTCTTTAGCTTTTCACTCGGAGCTGGCACTCTACCACTTGAACCACAGCTCCACTTCTAGCTTTTGTAGGGTAATTGGGGACAAGAGACTCACAGACTTTCTTTCCTGCCTGAGCTGGCTTTGAACCATGATCCTCACATCTCAATCCTCTGAGTAGCTAGGATTATAGGCATGAGCCACAGGCACTTGGACTTCAATTACTTTTTTTTTTTTTGGTGGTGGTGGTGGGGTTTGAACTCTGAGCCTAGGTGCTATCCCTGAGCTCTACCACTTGAGCCACAGTGCCACTTCTAGCTTTTTCTGTTTATGTGTTACTGAGGAATTGAACCCAGGCTTCATGCATGCTATGCAAGCACTCTACCACTGAGCCATCTTCCCAGCCCTTCAATGACTTTCTTTATACTGCCAATCACTGAAGTTCTTGGAAACAGCAATTTTAGTTGAAAAAATTTCTTTTTAAAATTTTTTTGGGGGGGCATTCAGTTGTGGGGCCTGAACTCTGGGCCTGGGTGCTGTCCCTTCAGCTCTTCAGTTCAAGGCTAGCGCTCTACCACTTGAGCCACAGCACCACTTCCGACTTTTCCCCCCCTGCTAATGTGGTGCTGAGGACTCGAACCTAGGGCCTCATGCATGCAAGGCAAGCGCTCTACCACTGAGCCACCTTCCCAGTCCCATAGTTGAAAAAATTTCTATAGCCACAAGGCACCTCCTAACTCTTCCATGACTCAGCCCTGTGAAATTCACTTGCATTATGAATTACCTGCATTAATTAGGGAAAGCAAGGGAGAGTCTGTCTGCTCACTTTATAGGAGAATGGCGCTTTGTCTTTAACAATGAGAATAGACAGGATGGTCTGGGGATAGTCCAATGCGGACTCTTCTCACTTTTCCTGGGGTACAGTGAGCTACCCAAAGGGAGTGTCTCCCAGGCAAAGTGTGAAAGACTTAGTCCCCAGCTGGGCACTGGGAGGAGGGCACTGGGAACCTTTAAGAGGCAGGACTTCCTGGTAGGTCTTCTGACAGGATAGTGGAACCCCAGCCTCTCCTCTTCCTCTTTTACTTTCAGCCCCCCTAAGGTTGTATTGTTGGAACATATGCCAGAAATAACAGGGCCAGTCAGACCTGGATGGAAATCTCCAATACTGAAAGGCAAAGTGGACCTCTATCTCTAAGATGTTTATGTCAAGCATTTGCTACATCAATAGAAAGCTGTCTAACACATAACACAGTGATACTGAATGACTGGGAAAGTCTGGGAAAGGTGGAGTGCGCTTGAAGGGAACTGGCCCACTCTGAGGGAAACATGGAAACCTCGTCTTATCCTCTAAAGTGCCACCAAGGGAGAAGACCTATGCAGACCCTGACGTTTAAAAAGAAGAGTCAGTACCAAACTCAGCGTAAATGTCAGGTACAGAAGAGACACTGAGGGAGCATAGGACATCATCACCAATTAAGGAAAACAAGGAGCTTTTTGATATGTGTAAAAGGAAAAAAATGATATATTCTGATGAGAAATCAGTTTCTACATTTTTTACTAGGAAAGTTCATATCAAAATCCAGTCAAGATGTCATGCCCGAAGAGTGCAAAAATGGCCAGGATGTCAGAGACAGCCTTAAACACCATCAACATATACTCTACAACTTTTAAATCATAAATCCTGTAACCCAAGAAATACAAATAACCAAGTCCCCCTTTGTGACAACAATAAGAAGCAAAACAAACTGGGTGCTGGTAGCTCACACCTGTAATCCCAGCTACTCAAGAGGTTGAGGCCCAGAAGACTATAGTTCAAGGTCCACCTAAGCCAAAAAGTCTGTAGCTAAGATAACCAGCAAAAAAAGCAACCAGGCCAGAGGTGTGGCTCAAGCAACAGCATGTCAGCCTGTCACAGCCCAGCACACATGAGGCTCCAAGTTCAAATGCCAACCCAGTGACAACAACAACAGAAAAACACACAAACAAAAACTGGTTTTAAGCTGGGTGTTGGTGACTTACGCCTGCAATCCTAGCTATTCAGGAGGCTAAGATCTGAGAATTACAGTTCAAAGCCAGCCCAGTAGGAAAGTGCATGAGACTCTTATCTCCAATAAACTACTCAGAAAACCAGAAATGGTGCTGTGGCTCAAGTGGTAGAGCGCCTCGCCTTGAGCTGAAGAGCTGAGGGACAGCGCCCAGGCCCAGAATTCAAGCCCCATGAGCGGCAAAAAAACAAAACAAAACAAAACTTGTTCTGGGGCTGGGAAGGTGGCTCAGTGGTAGAGTGCTTGCCTTGCATGCCAGAGTCCCTGGGTTCGATTCCTCAGCACCACATCAGCAAAAAGAAAAAAGCCGGAAGTGGGGCTGTGGCTCAAGTGATAGAGCGCTCGCCTTGAGCTGAAGAGCTGAGGGACAGTGCCTAGGCCCAGAGTTCAGGCCCCACGACCGGACCCCCCCCAAAAAAAAAAACAACTTGTTCTAGTCACAGTAGGATCTGACGCACACTGGAAAAACCTGTAAGCTGGGACAGAAACTGTAACTGCCCACTTCAATTAGCTTACCTCCCCACAATGCTTTCTGGCCAGTTCTTCTAAGCGGGATTTCAGCAAATTAACACTTTCATTGGACAGACCTTTGGCATTCTTTAATTCTATCTCAGGAACTCTGAAAAAGACAAAAATGGTGTCACAAGAGAGAGCCGTGGCTGAGAGACATGGTGAGCCTGAGTGCATTGACAGTCGCTGAGTTCCCATACACCTCACCACAGCCACCTCAGGTTAAGGGTACTTACTCAACCTGTCACCCATCTCCTAGCCACTCCAGGTACTAGGCAGACCTAGTCTGCATCCTGGCTGTCAGGGGGCCACCTCCTGGGGAGACCTTGATTTACTGAGCTCGAATGACCACCTCCCCTTCCATGTCTTCTGCGTCTGATTGCAGATTTACATCCAATGAGAATTTCTTAACCTTGATTGTTTATTGCTTCTGATTTGCCCCTGATCCTCAACTCTGGATCTCCTCTTAAAAAAAAAAAAAATCCCCCATCCCACCTCTCATTTGGCTGCTCATATCCTTTATGATAAATCAGTCATGGACAGTATTTTCCTGAGTCTTTGAGTTATTCTAGCTAATTCTCAAACTCAAGAAGGTGGTTATGGGAATTCCCACATATGTAAGATGTGTTGAGATTGGAAGCTGGGTGCTGGTGGCTCATGCCTGTAATCCAAGCTACTTGGAAAGCTAAGATTGGAAGCTTAGGCAGAAAAATCCCTAAGATTTTTTTCTCCACCCACAGCTCTTTGCTGTGGAGTGTGCCTGTCAATTCTGCTGTGTGACAGGCTGTGAGCAGGAAAAACATGGTTCCAGGTCAGCTCAGGCAGAAAAGTCAGCATGAGTCCATCTCAGAGGAAGACACTAGGTATGCTGGCTCATGCCTGCCACCTTAGCTATGGTGGGAATGGGAAAACAGGAGGATCACAGTCCACACATATACCTGGGCAGAAAGCGAGACCCTATCTCAAAAATAATCAGCCCCCTACCCCTAAAAAGTGCAGGGACAGGAGGCATATCTCAGCTGGGATCACCTGCCTATCCAAAACAGGAGACTTGGAGCCAGCTTCTGTGGTGCACCCCGGGGGACTCTATGGGGTCTGTGCCTTGGGCCCTTGGGCCCCTGGGCAGCTTCAGACAAGATACTGTGTACTCTGTGTCAGGAAACACACACACACACTCACAGTAAATGGTAAAACCCTGGAGAGGCACAGTCTTCATTTGCTCCCGTACACTGAGTTAACGGCTCCCATTAATGACTTTTTCAGAGCAAGTGCGGCTGGCTTCCTGACTTCCAGGAGCCTGGTGTGGATGCAAATCGTGGCGACTTTTCTTATTCCTCCCTTCCTTAGGACAACATCCACCAGAGCTGACCAGCCCGTAGCAAGCAGCACACCGGCCACTTTCCTTCCCAAGCTGCCACTGCTCCTCACACAGCCAGCCCACATATCTAACAGCAGCCAGGCAGGGCTGCCTCCCTGGGGAATGTCTGGGGACACCCCCCCCCACCTCCCAAAGGCCTAACCAGGAGGCCCCAGGGCTGGCAGCAGGCTGAGCCCAGGCCAGAACGCCTTTAGCCATGCCTTTCTTGTCTTGTGGTGGACTGTTCCCCTTGCCACTTGATGAGAATTAAATAAACCTGAACACATCAGAAGAAGCAAATGGAGTCACCGCACAAATATCAGCATCTGGAGCGAATGTTCTAGAACTGTACAAGGCAGATGCAGTTTGCTGAAACATTGGAAAGGAAAGCTTACATGAAACAGGGGAAGGAGGGGAAAAATGATCTGGAATGAAAATCTTGGAAATTGTTTCTACAGGTACTCACACATCGGGGTAGGTTGGGGGGCACTTCACCCTCAAATCCACTTTCACATACACTTCTTCACCAGCCAGGCCCTGGGGGTACAGAACTAAGTTGATTTCAGGGGGCCCTTTGACCTAAAAGAGAGGAAGGATATTTGTTCTAGAAAGTCAATGGTAATGATCGAGCTAACATCCCCTTAGCTCCAGGGTTCTACCTACGCAGGTGGTGGCTCCTATTTTCCAAAAGCATGGCTTAAAAACAACACCGTGTTAAGGAAAATACATTTCCCCTGGCAAAGTACCAAATCACTGAATCAAAAGACTGTATTTGGTTTCCACACCTTCATATGTGACAGAGTGCCAACTCTATGCTGGTCACTGTCCTCGGGCTAGAAGCACGAGGGTGAACTCATATAGCCACGGGTCCAGCCAGCTGTACAAACCATAAGGCAAATACCAATGGGAGCTGGGAGGGCTGTTCAGGCAGAGGTGCTAGACACAGTAGGAGGGGCAGAAGATACCTGGGCAGGTAGGGCAGAGAGGGGAGAGTTGCTGAGACACCCTCCCCAAAATGCTTGGGGCTTCAGATTTCAGAAGGTTTTGGAAAATGTGCATTGACTTTTTAAAGTTTTGAGCCAGTTACAGTGGCTCATGACTGTAACCCCCAGCTATTCACAGTTTGATATCAGCCCAGGTAAAAAATTGGTGAACCCCTCCACATCTCAACCAATAAAAAGGTGGGTGCAGGGCTGGGAAGGTGGCTCAGTGGTAGAGTGCTTGCCTTGCATGCCAGAGGCCCTGGGCTCGATTCCTCAGCACCACATAAGCAAAAAGAAAAAAAGCCCGAAGTAGCGCTGTGGCTCAAGTGGTAGAGCGCTAGCCTTGAGCTGAAGAGCTGAGGGACAGCGCCCAGGCCCAGAGTTCAGGCCCCAGGACCGGACCCCCCCCCCAAAAAAAAAGAAAATGAGTGAGGATATTAGGCTGATTCTAACACTGGCATGGAAAACCTGAAAAGTAAAACTAGTCTGGGAAGTTCTGTAAAGCAAATGGAAACATTAGACACTTAGGTTTGCTACAAATGTATTGTAACTAAAGCAATATTGATAGTGTTGCTGGAGTAGATGGATAGATAATATTAAATAGTAGATACAGATACATTCGGGAATTATTTCACTGGCAACGATTTGAAGTCAAGACGTGGGGATCCTCATTGGAAGCTGGCCATGGAGAATAACCATCAACACTCCATCTATATAGCTAGCAAATATGCCAGGCTGGGGCCTGGCTCAAGTGCCAGCCTGTAGCAAGCAGGCAAAGTGATTTGGAGGCCCTAGGTTCAAACCCTGGAAAACAAAGTCATGAAAGAATTGAAAGGAAATCTCAAAGATTTCATAGTTTGGTAACAATGGAACAAGGAAGTGTTGAAGTGTTTTTCTTCTCTTTGGCCTTTTTTTTTTGGTAATACTGGGGATTGAACCCTGTGCTACTTGAGCTTCATCTTCAGTTCTATTTTCATTTTTTGAGATAAGTTCCTCCTAACTTTGCCTGAGCTTGGCTCAAACGACACATCCTCTTGCCTTTGTTTCCTGATGGCTGGGTATACTACCACATCCTTATTTCCCCAGATCTGGGGTCAAACCCACAAAGTAAATAGGTACTGGGCTACATCCTTAGCCTGAGAAGTCTTTTCTAGGAAAACAAATACAAAGAATAAAATATGAAACAAAAATAGTTCATTTTTATTCCAGTAAAACTGTTTTGTTTTTATTTTATATACTGGGTTTTGAACTCAGGTTTTTGTACATACTAGGCACATGCTCTACCACTTGAACCATGCTCCACCTCCTCTATTAAAATTTGTATCGCAGGGCTGGGAAGGTGGCTCAGTGGTAGAGCGCTTGCCTTGCATGCCTGAGGCCCTCAGCACCACATAAGCAAAAATAAAAAAGCCGGAAGTGGCACTGTGGCTCAAGTGGTAGAGCGCTAGCCTTGAGCTGCAGAGCTGAGGGACAGCGCCCAGGCCCAGAGTTCAGGCCCCATGACCGGACCCAAAAATAAAAAATAAATCAAATTTGCATCGCATAAATTAGACAAAAATAAAAATGCATGTGGCTTATTACAGGTAATTCATGAATCACAACATTAATATTTTTAATATGTATCTAGTGCTTACAAATGAATTTTTAAAAATAGACCACGGAGCAGAAAAAGAAATAAAAGATAAACAGTTTGCAGAAAAGGGAGGGCTTACACACAAAGGTGGTCAACACAGTTAAAACTTACAAGGAGACATTTCATTATCTCCTGGCAGAAAATGTGTGTGGTATATTATGAGAGTCTACAAGAACTCTCACAGACCTGATGTAGCATCAGAGACAGAGATGATAATTAAATTATAAGCCAGCAAACCTTGCACTGATAAGGTAATCTTGATGAAAGAAATGATAACAATTTAAAACTATCTTTCAATTATAAAATTGTAAACTATGGTCGTCCAGATTTGTATGTAAAATAATTTTTACTTGGCACTCCAAAGTGTTACTTACAAAGTATATATATATATATGTGTGTGTGTATATATAAATACATTTTATATATACATATATATAAATTATATATATACATATATATATGTTAAGGTGAAATTTACCTTTGAACATATTCCTCCCAAAAGTTTTTAAAAAAAGCCAGGCACTGGTGGCTCACATCTGTAATCCTAGCTACTCAGGAGGCTGAGATCTGAGGATTGAGGTTCAAAGCCAGCCCCGGCAGGAAAGTCTGTGAGACTCTAATCTCCAATAAACCACCAGAAAACCAGAAGTGGTGCTATGGCTCAAGCGGTAGAGTGCTCACCTTGAGCTGAAGAGCACAGGGACAACGCCCAGGCCCAGAGTTCAAGCCCCACAACCAAAAACTCTGATCTGAATTTAATGGCAGCGAATTTGGCCTGAACTGACATAAGGTGGTCAGTGTGAAATTTGAATATTCACAACTTCCAGTGGTGGTGGATCTTTGGAAGCTCCCCAAGATGTGGTCGAGTTGTCAGCAGTATGAGAAACCCACTGGCAAACATCGACAGGGCCACTGCTGAGCTCTGGAAGCCAGCTGGCCTCAGGATGGTGCACCTGCAAGGTCTTTCCCCGTAGAGGGTTGCACAGCGGGTGCTAGTAAGTGCCCATTAAATGAGTAAACGCCGATTCGTCCTTACTGATTCATCAATGATTTGCCTGTGGGGCCTTTGGAAGTGGATGAGGCCACGTGTCCCCGGACCAGGGGCAGTCACTGGATAAGGTTTTGTGTGTTTTGTGTCGTGTTCTATCACGTTACAAAGGCCACCAGCTGTAAATTCACACATTACTGGTGTGGCTACTCAAAGAAGCTGCTTTTTCACTTCCTTTTTCTGCATGAGAAGGTAATGAAAGGAAACTGGCTCCAGAGGACGTCGTGGGGGCTTCGTAGGAAGTCCAGTGCACCCCTGGGCATCTACGGGTGCTGATGACCAGTCTGACTTCGTGGTTGTCGGTGTTTGGACACAGAGAGGTCGTTCGCTGACCAGAAAGCCCGTGCTAGGCCCAGGGCAGCATGTGTAAGTGGTACACTTGCAGGTTAAAGTTAGTGGACTCTGGCAATGAAGGCCTAGCCAGGTCGGCCCCGGGGCCAGGCTGGGCCCGCCCCAGGCCGCCCGGTCTCCTGAGGGGAGGAGACGGTGTGAACTCGCTGGGGCAGCTCCAGAGAGCAGAGAGCCAGAGTCCCGCGGAAGTCCGGGAAGGGTGGGAGAGGAGGCAGAACTTCCTCAAAGACCCGGTTTAGAAACATTGTTCCGCAAAGACCGAGGGAGAAGCGGCGACGACGGGCAGCCCGCCCGGCTCGGCGGGGGGCCGGGG